CAGGTCATCACCATCGGTAACGAGAGGTTCCGTTGCCCCGAGACTCTCTTCCAGCCTTCCTTCATCGGTACTCCAAATGTTCTTATTCTTCATCTTAAAATGGCAACCATGACTCCACGTTAGTCCTCCTAACACTTGCGCTCTCACCTTACCAGGAATGGAGTCCGCTGGCATCCATGAGACTGCCTACAACAGCATCATGAAGTGCGACATTGACATCCGTAAGGATCTGTACGCCAACAATGTGCTCTCCGGCGGTACCACCATGTACCCTGGTATTGCTGACCGTATGCAGAAGGAGATCACTGCCCTGGCTCCCAGCACCATGAAGATCAAGGTAAACAAACCAGATCACAACTTTTTTTTTTACGAACAAATTTCAGCTTCTTGACTGGTTTTTTAACTAAACTCCCGCCGCCTTCCTTTCCTCTCTCTAGATCATTGCTCCTCCCGAGAGGAAGTACTCCGTCTGGATCGGTGGCTCCATCCTGGCTTCCCTGTCCACCTTCCAGCAGATGTGGATCTCCAAGCAGGAGTACGACGAGGCCGGCCCCAGCATTGTCCACAGGAAGTGCTTCTAAATCCTCCATCTTCTTCTTCTCCATCACCACCGGCAGCCTGGAGAACGAGCGAGGAGGAAGGAAGAGCTCTGCGGCACAGCAACACTCTGCTGTCAATGGACTGGCTGTTTGCGCCGTTGACATCCATATGCAATTTATATTGGTTTAAAATCTGCATATTTCATAGCTGTTTGTTGTTTGTGTTGCACGGAGAAAGGCTGTGAAAACAACCACTGAACCATGCATACACCAAAAAAACTTTAATAAAAAAAGAAATAACAACGACATGTTGCCCAACACATGTGAATGTAAGTGTATATACATATTGATAATTTATTAAAGTCCATTATTTGGTATTTTTCGCCCCTGGCCTTGGTTTTCTCTTAAATGGGAAGGTGGAGAAACTAAAAATGCAGGGTTTCCTTTAAAAACGACCTAAAGTTAAACCAAGAGCTGAACTTTTGGAGTATTTGTCATAAATCTGGACAAAATTTTAAAAACTGCCACAAAAAGATAATGTGACTTTTCCTTTTTTAAAACAATAAATTCTGAGCTTAACTTCAGTTCTTAACATGCAGAACATATTACTATAAATGGTTTGATATTATAACTCTTAAATTGTCAGTTCCATTTCTCCAAAAAACGTAGAAATTTTCTTAATTTTTCACCTCTTAAATGCCGGTTTTAGCGATCAAAAGCTCACTTTCTCTTTTTTCCTATCTGATATATTTGTAAATTTGATTTTCTTTCCTTTGGTGGAAGTGAGTTTCATCTGAACCTGAGAGAATCAAACATCAACATCATCACTGAATCGATCAATTAATCAATTCCTCCACATGACCCTTGAACACAAAAATAACTACATTAGTGACCGACATGCAGCATAAAACATAAAAAGGTTTTCCAATAAAATCCGTCACTGACTTTTAACCTCTTATAAGAAATTACATATTTTTTCCTCAAAAATAACAATATCTGGTTTCCACCATAAGTGTCCAAATTTCTAATTGAAAACGGTTTGAAAACAATGAACATTGTTATTGTTATTTTATTCTATGAACTACTGACAACATGTCTCTGAAATTCCAAGCAAAAATGTAGTTTTTATTTGCAGAAAATGAGAAATGGTGAAAATAACGAAAACAATGCAGAGGTTTCAGACCTAAAGTAATGCAAAGAAAACAAGTTCATGATCATTTATAAATAACAGTACTGATGTTTTAGCTCAGGAAGAGTTCAGAAATCAGTATTTGGTGGAATAGCCGGGAGGTTTTCAGTGCAGTGGGCTCTTCATTTATTCCAGAGCTTTACATTTTTAAATTTCTTCATGAATGTCAGACGAAAACATTCATAAAAAGCAAGAATAAAAATCACCAAACTACACAACCTGACCAAATGTTGTGGCATTTGCGATAAGACTGCCAACCTTACGGAACAAACAGTGGAGTTAATGACTTAGTAGTGAAGCCACATGTCAGACAGAGAGACGGATATGTGGGATGAAGGTGCGTCACCTCATCATCAGTTGTGATTGGCGGACCGCTCGGTCACAAAAGTGGGAACATCTTCAACACGCACATTCAGAATAGCACTTGGCAGGAATGCGCAAAGGCAACAGGCGCAACAGGAGCGGCTCTGCTGTTATAGCCGACCCGGATCAGTAGCGCTGGGACACCGGACACCCGCTCCGGAATCCCGTCGAGCTGCCACATGCTCCTCCCTGGCCCCCGGACCATTTTTAGTCGAAAGCATACTGTGTTCAGAGGGACCCTCTCCGCAAGCTCTGCCTTATATGAATATGAGCTCACCAGGTTATCCGAGAGGGGCAGAGGGTCCAGAAAATTACTCAAGTAAGAGTAAGAAAGTACCAATCACTTAAAAATTACCTGGAGCAAAATATAAAGTTATGTGGGAATTTGGGTATTTTGAATATCAAATTTATTCATATTAATAACATAATTACAAAAAAACAAAACCTGTATTTTTTTTTTTCAAATATATATTTTTCTCAATACAAAACTTCTAAAAATGTTTAAAAAAAACTGTGTGTGTCTGTATCTGGTGATTTTTTAGTTAAAACATGTTTGTTTTTCATTCAGTAGGTAGAAAATCCAGACATTTTAAGTAAGAGTAAAAATACTTAATAATAAAATTACTCAAGTAAAAGTAAAAAGTACAGCGTAGTAAAAAATACTCATAAAAGTACATTTTATCCAAAAAGTTACTCAAGTCAATGTAACTGAGTAAATGTAACTAGTTACTACGCAGCTCTGGAGGGGGAGCCTGATAAAACAACAGGAGGTTTATCATCTCTGCCTCGCACTGACAGATGCAGCTGATATGAAACGACTTTCTTAAATTCACAGGATACAAAAAAAAGAGGAGGGAAAAAAAGGCAACGTTATTATTCAAAGCATCAGTCACCTAAACACTTAAACATTTCAAGCTCAAACGGAGAAAACTGAGCATCAGAAAACAGGGATAAAGCGCCTGTTGCGGGGGTGTGTTTGGCTTTTTAAAAGCGTCCTCGCCGGTGGGCGGAGCTAAGTCCTGTGTCATTACAGCAGAACCATCTGTTCTGGGCCGCTTCCTGACATCCGAGCTCGCAGTAAGTATGTGTACTGTATACAAAATTAGATCTGTGCAGGCAAGAGTCGCTCCCGTCGAGCAGGTCAACTGTTGTGGACTGGACGGAGTGTTTGATGGATTTACTGAGCTGGTACCGGAGCTGCCGCCGACAGGCGATTACAGCGCTCCATGGTGCCATGATTAATCTGACGTGCAGACTGTACATAACAGTGATATATTTGTTATTAAAAGGTTGCGCTGCACAACATGCAGGCTATTTTAATGACAGCAAACTGTGCATACTTTAAAAGGAGAACATAGACACTGCATTGAGCCAATGTGTGTCATATAGAAAACCAGAAACATGTTTAATGGTTCCTGGTGGATGTGTTAAAAATAGTCGTTCTACATGATTTCTTTCGTACCCGAGCTGGTGGACTGGCGTCAGCTGAGTCGACACTTGCATGTAAAGTCAAGCCAGCTCTCTCTTAAAGACCATCGTCGCGCATATATGGTGCATTACGGTAATAGGTCAGTAGGGGGAGCTTGTAGGAGATAAAAATAGGAATGAAGCATAACTATAAAAAATGGATGACATCTACACATTCTTCCACATCCAAATTCTGTGTCCACAATGAATATTTTATAATTTTATTGCACATTTTTGGAGATAAACTCGGTCAAAGTACCTCATAATGCCACTTTTGCCTCATCTTCGTGAATTTATTTCTTCCAAATCTTCAGAAGTGACAGCAAAAGTTCTTGGGGATCTATTAAATTATTAAAATTTGTATCCAGAATAGATATTTTATAATATCATTATACTCTTTGGACTTGGTTTGTTATCAGCTATCCAAATAACCTCTGCATGTCCATACAGATAAGAAAATATATTTTGTGGCGTTATCAGAGATATCAGAGATATCCTACCTTCACAAGAAGTGTTTTTTTATTCTACAAAGTGTTTCAAATGAATAACTTACCCAGAGGTCTGTTTTACAAGGTAGAATGAATGAAAAATATACTATAAAAACAGATTAACAGACATCAAACAACTAAATCTTCTTTACTTCTGAATAATTATGCACAAACTTCTTGAACTTCAACTTTTAAGTAAATCTAATATGGACACACAGCATAGTCTCACTCTTTTCTCTGTGTACAATCATCTACAGGCAGTGCAAATACAAGCTACTGTCACATAATGTAATTCCCTACAAAAGTAAAATCAGTCAATGTTATCAATCGTAGTAGCCTATATTTTTCTCAAAAGCTTGATTAAAGTTAAGATTTATTTGTTAAATGCCTGTTAATCTGTTTTTAGATATTTTTTCATTTATTCTGTCTTGTGAAAAGATTTCTTCTAAGGCTATTTTATATTTTAAAAAATGATAAAGTATTTATTGTGTATATATGTGTGTGCTATGCATATAAATGTTTTATGGCTGTGCTTCTCCTTTTCTCTTTTTCTTTTACTAATTATGTTGCTTTTGTTTTGAGCCCATCTTCTTCGGGTTACGATGTCGAGTTCTCTTTTATGACGGAGGAGACGTTTTGTATTGTCCATGTATTCATTCATTGCTGCCTTGAAAAAGTTTTGTATATATATTTTAGAAAGTATTCTGACTATTCCTAGTGTAAAAAAATTATCTGGCTGCCGTAAATGATATAGAAAAAATAAATATTAATTTTCAGAAACTACTATGCTTAATTTTACTATAACTGATTAAAAATATTCACCAGCCGTGACTGACAAATTATTGCTTACAGTTACTAAATGGAAATTACGGTAACAAACCTATTCGAATCTGTTGTCGACGTAATCTTGGCAGCCAATCAGAGGAAGAAATGAGAGTTACGTCACCGCGTTCAGGAAATTTCTGATAGTCACGTAGTTATGGCAGACAGACTCCTCGCTATCCTTGTAGCCGATATTTTGAAAGATTTAGAAAGCAGATGTCATTCTTCACAGTTTCATTGGAACCGGACTCTGGTTCTGTTTTTATTGCCCGAAAAGCGAGCTTTAAGCCCATCAGTTAGAAAGTAGGCGGGTCCTTGAACGGCATCCTGTGCTGCTATTGGTTTAAACTGTTGTTGGTATGGTTTAAATGTCTGGCGGTGATAAACAAAGATCTTGGTGTGAGGAGTTTTAGCTGTTACAACACTGTTGTCACTCTTGCTATAGACTTATTGTGATAAAGTCTTTGGTTTATTTTTGCTCCTTTTTTATGTTTAAACAGGGACAAGATGGTGACTAAAAGGATCCGCTCAGAGTACATGAAGAAGTTCAAAGACCCCAAATGGGAGACTTACACCAAGTGTTATGAAGAGTTGCTGGCTTACAGGCTGACCCGGAGGCTGCTGGAGAACACACACAACCCCTGGTTCTGGAACGGCTCTGACAGCGACTCGGACTCGGGAGGAAGGAGCCCTCCTCACCCCAGTAAGAACCAGGTTGAAGCCGGCGGAGGCAGAGCTGAAACAGAGGAGCCCGAGGGGGTCAAGACGGGCAGACAGCAGGAAACCAGAACCACCGGAGCCGGACCTAGACGTGCTGTCCAGAACGAGGAGCAGATCAGGCCTGACCCACAGTCCTCAGCACACAGTAAGCGTTCAATTAAAAGAGTAATATAGCATCATGCTGTGATGTTTGCCTGTTATTGTGTGTGATATGACTCACTGCTTAGGTTCACAGTGTGACGATATCAGGGAGTCAAACAAAGCAGTTCAGGGAGAGGAAGAGGAGTTTTCTGCTCCACTCAGAGACGAAGGTAAGCTATTGTCAAATGTCATTTTAAAATGCCGAGTACCTAAAGTATCACACAATTTAAGAGAAGCTTTCCAACTTTATTATGTTTATATATAGTGTGCTATATTTTTGATAGGGGTGCACCGATTTATCAGCACTGTTTTCCTTAATTTTGGGAGATCATTGATCGGTCATTACTTGCATGTTAAGCTGATCTACCTCAGCAACGGTCTAAAAATCAGCCGTTGTCCTCTTCTTGTCTCCTGTGAGAGAGGTTTGACTGACAGAGTGTCCCACCAGGTCACCTTTGCATGTTTGGAGTTAAACAGTCACTCCATTGTTAAAAACTCAGTGACTTTCCTGCTATATTTAGCAGCATTTCAGACAAAAAGTGATTGGTATCAGCCAAAACTGGAATCGGCAAGTAAGGCTTTTTAGAGATCTGAAATCAGAAATCGGCCTGAAAATTGTAATTAGTGCGCCCCTAATTTTTGATCTTCATTCTAGTCGGTAGGAAAACAGATGTATCTCTGAATTAGTATTGAATTAATCAGATAAAACACATACCCTTAACATTTCTGCTGAATACAGTACTTTATGTTATTGTCAACAAGCCTCTTTTCAGGGAAAATATTTCAGGTTTTTACCTTTTTCTTTTTTCTTTTTAGCAATAATGTTTACAGTCATTTTGGTTGTAACAGAAAAATTGTGTTGTTATTCACTGAATATCAGAAAACGAATAATTAGCTTAAAATGGTTTCAGAGTAATTTTGCTATAGTTAGACAGTCACACTGAAAAAATAAGAGAAATAAATTCATTTTCCTGCATGTAGATATTGACTTGAAAAAGTGACTTGTAATTTGAATTTTCTGCAAAACACTCCATGGAAAGGATTAAGATATTTGACTGCCAAGTCAAATATAAAATAGCCTTTGATGAAATTTTTTCACAAGACAGAATAAATGAAAAAATATCTAAAAACAGATTAGTCAGAACCTCTCACCACTGAAAACATTTTCTGCTTTTTGTGCAAAAAAACAAAACAAACAAAAAAAACCTAAACTTTATGGGAAACGGATCAGTCTGAGATGATGTAACACATTTTTTAAACCAGTTGATACTCCTGTCGCTGTAAATGTTTGTTTTTTGATACAGAAAAATCAGCTTCAAAACTGAAACTATATATATTCTACACAAAAATGTAGAAAAAATAAATAAATAAATATATGATTAAAACACGTTTGTTTTTTTAAATGGAATTTACACAAAACTCCTCAAATGGCATAGTTTTCCCTTCACCTGGTTCAAATTCACTATATTGATTAGTTTTTTTGTTTTAAATATCTGAAACCCGGCCAAACTAGTGGTGTGACCTTTCCTGTTTAATTCTCTGTTTTCACCTAATGCTATTGTGTTTATTATTATTATTATTATTATTATTATTATTATTATTATTATTATTATTATTATTATTATTATTGAGTAGTTATGAGGCAGCAGTGGAGAAAATGTAAACTGCTGCTGTGGCAGTTGCTCAACAAGTTGTTGCTAGGTAACCAAAGAATGAGAGAGTTGCTAGGCAACCAAAGAGCGAGTGAGGGAGTTGATTCCACCAACCTTTAGTTTGAGCAGTTAAAGTCTTTCCTCTTCCTACATCTCCCAGAATGCCATACGATTCTGGATCAGAATCCAATGAAATTATTGATAATTCTATCGAACGTGTTGGTATTGATCATGTGTGCATTGCAATATATACTGTTACTGATTTATTGTCCAGCCCCAGGTTAGGATTTGTTAAAGTTTTTCTTTTCATTTTCCAGAAAAAGAGACGAGAGCAGCCCGACCTCACCAAGGAAAACCCTCCAAATCAACGAGACCAGCCTGGCGCTCCCAGCGCGTGAGGCCTGTACGGCAGCTCAAAGAGGACACAAAGGAGAAACGCCATGCTTTCGCTCTGTATGGCTCAGGAGAGAAGGATGCAAACATCGCAAATAGGAAGACTCACAACGTCGGTCCTGCAGCTTCTACTGCTGAGGTGACGTAATGCCTGGTGTACCTGTCATTCTCTAAACATGAAATATAACCGGTCGTTTCACGGACAGATTCATGAATCGGCTCTGCGTGCAAAGACCAGACGGCAGGTGGAGCGGCAGATCCAGTCCCGGCGACCTGGGCGGCGTCGGGCCAAATCAGCGGACCCAAATAAAGCCGAGATGGTGGTTCAACCCGAGTTCAACCCCTGGCTCACTGAGTACATGCGCTGCTTCTCCGCTCGCTCCCGATAGGACAGCGGCAGAACATCAGCACCAACAGCCATCATTCCTGCCTCTAGAAACAGCGGAAGTTCAGACACATGGCACATTTTACGAGCTCTAAGTCTCACTGCGACTTGTCTTCATGGAAAACATCTCAAACTCAGGGATTTTATACAAGATGGAGGACAATCATGTAAGAAAAGTTTTGGTAGTTTTACGACGAACTGAAGTTTTGTCACATAAAGACATTTGGTAACACTTGAACTTGAAGGGGTGTGCATAGTGGTGCGTTCACACCAAACGCGTTACGCGCGTCAAAAACGCGTCGACAGCTTCAAGTTTGACGCATGTGTACTTTGAGTCAGACGTTTGACATTTTGCTCTAGATGTCAGTCGCTCTAGTCGGAGGTTTAGAGGAGACTCCTTGGCGTACATGTCCCTCAAACTCTTCCACCGTCTCCTGCATGTTTCGTCTAAATAAATACAACGTTTATTTAACGTGTTTCAACGTTTTTGCTGGACGGATTTGGATGGATCAAATCCGGGGAAATATTTTTCAAATAGTTATAACTTACTCCACATCCCAACTTCCTGATCCTCTCCCAAGTCAAGTCCTTTCTATTCCTGTCTGCGTAGTCGTAGCTCGATTGGTCGTAGATTACAGGACGAGAGCAAACAGCGACAATTAGTTTATTCTCCATAGTTTTATTTTTCTGAGATCACGTCGGAAAATGCAAAACTACGACTGGCTAAAGTTCAGATTTTCCAGCGTTGAACGCATCAAACACTGGAAACGCTTCAAATCGCGCAGTACTTGACGCGCCTCCACATATGACTATTTATGACTGTTGTAATGAAGTTTCATTTGGTAAATAATGACTTTAAATGAACGTTTTAATTGCACTTTGCATTAAAAATGGCATTAACAAATTAAATTTTATAACATTCAGTCTTATGCACATCCCTTCAAATGAAGCTTTGCCAGACATTGAAATTAGTGTTAGTAGTTCACATTGAATCTTACAGCCATACTTTGACGCAAATCCTTTAAGACATCCAGTAAAAGGACCACTTTGTTATGGAGATGATGATCTACAGAGGAGCGACTCCTGGGTAAAAGAATCGGATGAAGATTCCTGTTCTTGAAGAAACTTTTGAACTTGTATAAACAATAATTCAAGGATTCAGTGTTGGCCAGAAGTTTACATACTCATCGTTTTGTTAGGGAGGAGTGATGAGGCAACATATAGCAAGAGTAAGGTGAGCAGGTTTGAATTAGTTTAGGAGAGGACCAGCAGGAGGCGCTGCAGTCCCCAACCTGACGTCAAGGTGAGCAGCTCTTCATCCATCTGCTTCTTCCTCACCCACACAGCGCTGTTTTCCTCTCAGAACCAACCAAATCTGTTTTAATACTCCCAAAAGTAAATTTTTTCTTTTCAAAAAGGTAACTCAAGTAAATGTAACTAGTTACTGTTGAACTCTGAATGCTGCACAGAGCTCATCAAACCTCAGAAATCTTTCAACAGCTAAACTAACTTAGCTTTATCATCATGACTGTAACGTTTCTGATTTGTAATAAAACCTGCAGAGTGTCTAAATCTGTTTATTGTGGTTTAACTGGAATTATGATAAAGAAGATATAAACAGTTTGGATTTTGTTTTCCTGTTGCAAACCGGTCACTAATTTCACTTTTTTCTCTCTTTCTCTCCACGATTTTCTTATATCGTCTGAATTACAGCTTGTAACGATGTTGGTTCTGGATGTGGTGATAAAAGGAACAGAAAGTTTCCTCCATCTGCCTGGAAGAGGCTCGTCAGCGGGGAAAAATACCCAGAATGCACCAGGAACACCTGGTTTTATTTAGAAATGTTCTCAAATTATTTAGACTCATACCTGCTTCCTTGACATTTTGAAACATTTCCTGTCGTCACCATCTTTAAGGGATTTTATTCTTTCTTCTGTCTCCTTTTGGGTTTTTGCTGTCTTCCTTCATCTGTTATTGTTCATAAATTAAGACTGCTGGTTTAACTTCAGGCAGATTGCGTCCTTTTTAATTTAAAATAAACTAAAAGATTGTAAAACATTTTCTTAACTAGGTGTTAATCAGGGTCACTCTAGATCTTTTTCCACATGTAACTTTTTTTTTTTTACCAGAAAAAAACAAAATGATCAATTTAGTGTGTGAGATACGGTCAGCTTAGATCCAGTCCAAAGTATAACAGAGATTATAATCTGAGATTTCTGTCACTGAATGTGAAAAAAATGATGTAAATATTAATAGTTTACTTGTGTTAATATGAAATGTTGTAATTATTTTTAATATTTTATATTTGTGGTTGCTGTTAACTTAAACTAGTTTGTATTGCCACATTAACTGTTTAATCATGATTACACTTGAAACTTATAAATATAAACTATATTTTGCTTTTGATCAAATATTTTACAGAAGTTAAACATTAGAAACGGTGGGAAGACTGTTTTAATCTCTTTTTCGTCATTGTTGTAGCATCATGTTCATTATTAGTCTGTAATTATGTGCACCATTTCACTTTAAAAACAGTTGATTTTCTGTGTTCTCAGATAAATGCGGAGAAACAGAAAATGTTTATTGTTTAGGTTTCTACAGTAATACTTTCACAGTTTCTTCTGTTTTTCACAAAATCTGTACAAACATTTAAATGACTGAAAGATGAACGTCGGGTCATGTGACCTGAAGCTTTTAGTGAAACATTTTTCTACCACATTGCTGAGTTTGTGACTGGCAGCATCAAAATATACCAACCTTTTCAAATGATCACACTTTAAAAACTGCTAAGATTTTAAATCTGATCATTTTTACCCTTTTAAATCTTTAGGTAGAGATTTGAGCCTATTTGAGCAGAGTGGAGGAAATAAAAAGTTTCATTTTTTTTACATTGTAAGCTTTTGAAAACTTGGTTTTCCTGTTCAGGTTCATCTAAATAAAACAGTTTGATTAAAAAAAATCAGTTTTGAGTATTTTAATAATGCAAATAAAGAGAGGTGGAGATTTATTACACAGAATTTAAACCTGAATTGATTATTTCTATTAGCCAGAGTTGGCAAATAGAAACTTCTTGAGGAACTTTTTGATACTTTTAGGAGTATTTTTACTACAATGTGTTTTTTACTTCATTATAAAGTATCAGATATCCAATGTGAGTACCGTAACTTCACTGAATGATGAAAGGGAAAAAATGATTTGGAAAATGTTTTCCTTTGCCTGTTTTTGTTGTTTTGTAATTATGTTAATATGAATTATTTTTTATGTTAATATGAATTATTTATGTTGGTTCTTAAAATATCAAAAATTTCACATAGCTTAATATTTTGGTCCAACTAATGATGTAATTAAATATTAAATTGTTTTGATCAGTTAGTAATTATCTTTTTACCAAATACTATTTTACTCTTGAGTAATTTCTTAGACAGCTACGTTTTACTTCAAGTATATCTATAGAAAGCTTAGTGGAAGGAAGAAATGTGGATCTCCCACTGAGATCCAGTGGGAGGTTTTTAGTTTGTGATGATTTGATCATAAAATAATCATTGTTTGAAATATAATGGTATATGTAATAAATTTATTAGAATATCACTTTTTGAATCGAATTACAGAAACTGAACTTTTAGATGGTTTTCAAATCAGAATATAAAGGATTCAAATGAATAAATCTTTGAGTTTGACTCTAAATATTGAAGTTTTTCCTTCACAGATGTGAAGCTGTAGAGAAATAAAAAAACAAAAACACATATTCGGTGATGTATTTGTCGTTTTATTTCAAAAACATATGCCAATTATCAAACAATAAATTAAAAATCTATGATATTTATGACAAAACATACATGGAAACAAAAGAATCTGATGACAAAAAACAAAACACAAAATGACGACATCCAGATGTGAAACAGCGAAAGCCACCGTCGTATTTCAGACTAAATATGAAAAGCTGCTTTAGTTTGAACCGTGATGGAAAAGTTTAGAGTTTTGTCCTTATTATGGCTTTAATTAAGCTATGTAGGATGATGATAACTAAAGCAAAGTGACGTGTTAACCTTAAAAGATTAAAATAAATAAAGCACACAACAGATAAGCTTCTGTCTGCAGCTGTGATTGGTTAGCATCAGTCGGGTTTTCATGTAAACAAGCAACAATTAGTGAGAGATCTGCCACTTCACTGGCTGCAGGACAAACGAGTTACACAACCGTTAAACATGTTAAAGTGGCGACCCGTCCTTCACACATGGAGCACGAGGAGCCAGTGTTTTTAAATATACAGTGGAGCATGAAAATGATGCTAATATGACTTCTAATGTGTTACAGATGGAATATCAGCTATAATAAAATACTCCGTCTGGAAAGCATGCGTCGGTCTCTATTTACAGAAACTCTGTACAGCGAAGAAAGGGAAACCAGGGGGTTTAATGCAAGAAAGACAGCGGGGAAGGGAGGGTGTGTTAGCTGAGGAGGAGTTAATGAGGGCAACGTTTGGTGTTTAAACTAGAGAGGGAAACGAAGAGAACAGAAGTTCAGGGGGGTTAAAGTTTGGTTTCCATGCCAAAGAGTCGATGATAAAGTCGTCTGGTTTGCATCAATTCATCCACATTCAAGCTGGAGCAAAACGCCAACCTATTTTACTAACAAATTATCCAGTCAAATCTTGTTTATGTTATATGGACTGAAGGTGGAGTCCAGACTGCATCGGAGGGAATACAGTGTGAGACATGCAAACGTTTAGCATCCTGGGTGGGATGGTCTGGGGCCATTTTGGTCCAGTAAAGCAGCGAACTGCTGGGAAGATGGCCGATCTGAGGGAGGGGAGAGGGGCCAGAAGGACTTCTCAGCTCTCTGCACATGCAGAAATGAAAATAAAGACTCTGAAGGGTCCGTGCAAAGGTCAAGGGAGGGGTCACCAGCCAGCAACCTGAACCCAACACTGTCAGGCCCTCCATGGCTCTTCTTCTTCTTCTGGTCTTTATAAACCTGCCCCAAACAGAAACACTGGGTGAATAAGCAACAATGCAATTTAAAAAAAACATAAAGGATGAATTATGAGGCAGTCATGGTTAACAAAAAGGTGAGAAATAAATTAGAACTGAAACGATTAATTGTGATTAATCAAATATGAAGTAACTGTGCTCAAAATTTATCATTGCGGTCAAATCTCCAGGTTGTTATATCTGAAACATTATGACTGTGAATGCAAACATGCCCTGATTCGGATTTCAAAGTAAATCTAAACTCTGCAACAATAGATTAGAGCTGAAACGATTAATCAGATTAATCGTGATTAATTGATGTTATCGTAGCATCTTGTTCTCAAAATGTATGTTTGCATTCAAATCTCCAGGTTGAAATCTGAAACATTATGATTATAAATGCCCTGATAAACATCTCAAAGTATGTGTAAATTCTGTTATAATAGATTAGAACTGAAGCGATTAATCGGATAAATCAATTATCAAAGTTATGGTCAACTAATTTACTAATCGATTAATTGTTAACTAGAGTGTAGAGACCCCAAAAAGTTATATTTTACTGAAAGAACAAGATATTCAAAGTAGTAATTAAAACAAATCCATACAAAAACTAAATACATTTTGCGCTTACGATAAAGAATGAATATTTATCTGTAAATATTTTTGACTCAAAACTCCTCAAACGGCATTTTAGCTTCACCTGTTCAAATTCTTAAATTTAGATGCATCCTGTGCTAAAACTAAATGCTGTGCTGTTGCATTTTAAACAATAAAATGTTTATTTTCTTATTTAAAAACAGAAACATATTTGTTTATTTGCATTTTTATGTATTTTTAATATTGCATAAAACAGGCTCAAGTGGTTCAATTAAAAAATATGCAGAATGTGTCAATTTTTTAAAAACTGATTAATTGATTACTTGTCAAAATAATAGATAGAATAAAATAAATAAATGTACCCATAATTATATTATTGCATCATTAAAGCTGAACTCCTGATTTAATGAAGGTGTAACTAATGACTTTATGTACTGATTTCATTGGAAACCTCTGGTTCTCTAAACCTTTTCACCTTCATGTAGTGAATTGCATGGAGTCCACTAGCAGCCGCAGTCCTGGGAGCCCTGCGGCTGAGCGCGGCGCGGAGAGCGCAGCTGTCGCAGCGCCGCGTCGCCGTACTGGATGCCTGAACCCATCCGCTCTGGATCCAACTCCCCTAGAGAGGCGACCAGACAGCAGAGGAAAAGTTAGAAGAACCGAGGCGCGTTGGATTTACATAACCAAGAAGAAAGAAGAAAGGTTTGGTGACTGCCAACAGAACGAGGCTAAAGTAGTTTCCAGATGAATAAACTGGAAAATGTACTCAAGAGTAGCACTACTACTACAACATAGTTTTACTCAAGTAAAAGTTACCAAGAAATTACTCAAGTAAGAGGAAAAAAGTATTTGGTAAGAAGTCCACTGACTGAGAAACTGATCAAATTATTAGTAATTTAATATTAAAAATTACATCATCAGACGGAGAGAAATATAAAGTCAAGTGAAAAATGTTGGTATTTTAATGAACCAAAATGACAAATATTCATACAAGTAACAAAAAAATAACAATCAGACTAAAGAAAATGTTTCCAAATAATTTTATTTCTCCCTATGAAGCTGATAAAACTTTAACAAAAACTGGAGGGGTGTGTCTGATTAATTTTTTTTTAAAAACATTTTTGTCTTTCATTCAGTGGGTAGAAAACCCACTGAAATTTTATTCAAGTAAGCGTAAAAATACTTCACAATAAAGTTACTTAAATAAAAGTAAAAAGTAGTAAAAATACTCGTAAAAGTAATTTTGTTCAAAAAAGTTACTCCAGTAAATGTAACTGAGTAACTGTAACTCTGACTTGGATGAAGTGATGGTCTGTGTTGGGCGACGGGTCGGGTTCCTACCAGACTCGATCTTGTTGAGGATTTTGCGAGCGCACTGGACGAAGGCCTCCTCGACGTTCTCCCCCGTCAGCGCGCTGGTCTCCAGGAACATCAGCTCTGAGACACAAACACCCGCAGATTAGAGCCTCTGGTTTTCTGCACACAGCATGGTGAGTGAGTCAAACATCATCTGTTCAGATCCTCCAACTGAGCAGCGGTGACCAAACTGAGGCCCGGGGGCCAGAAATGGCCCCCAAATGCAATTCAAGAATGATACAGATTTGTTCATTAAGCTTTTTTTTTTAATCAGTGTAAGATTATCGCTGACACAGCAGTAGAAAATGTTAAGTCGTATTTTTATAATAATCAATCCAGAAACTTTTACTGAAAAGCCGACATCACTGAGCCCAATTCAGCTTTTAGTTTATTAACTTTTATGAATATAGCAGGAGTTTTCACAGAAAGAGACCCAAATTCTGCTGAGAATAAATTAGTTCGATCAAATCCCAAATGTGAAAACTAAACAAATTTCTTCTAATAGAACAAAAAAAAAAAAAAAAAGCGAGTCTACTTTATTGGCTTGATTTTTAAAATTTTCTTTTCTCGTGAGTTTTGTTGACTCGACAGTTTTGGTCCGTGTCCAAACCGTCTGGACGGCCCTGAAGTTCAGCTGTTGACTGTATGATGCGTTTATGACGTCTTCCTGATGTGAAACTGCAACTAAACTTCAGACTTATTGACTGATTTATTGACGCAGATTGTTTTTAATTCGGTCAGAAAGCTTCCTGGATCAGCCGGTACCGTTTTCCTGAGCGAACCGCGACGCCTCCAGGAACGTGACCTCTCTGTCGGCGTCCAGGTCCTTCTTGTTCCCGCAGAGGATGATGACGATGTTTTGACTGGCCAGCATCCTGGCGTCGCTCAGCCACGTGGTCAAAGCGTTGTACGTTTCCCGACTGCAGAGACGGACAGGAGTGAACAGGCGAAGCTGCAGAAACGGATCTACGACTGGATTCGGTTTGGTACCTGGTGATGTCGTAGACCAGCAGCGCTCCTGCGGCTCC